GGGCTTTAGGGTTTTCGGGGTTTAGGGTTTAGGGGTTTGGGTTTTAGGGCACGTTCCATGGGTGTTCCATCGGTTTTTCTACTGGGGTGGTATGTAAACCGCTAGACCCCAGACCTTGAGCCATGTCGTCGAACTTTGAACTCAACCAATTAATTAGGTTTCGCGTTTTCTGGTTTTGAGGTCTTCGGTTTCGAGTTCGGGGTTTAGGTTTCAGAATTTTGTAGGAAGTTTTGCTGCCTCGTGATGGGCATCCGAACCCAAAGCCGCTGAGAGCCTTAATCCGCAACTCAAACCCGCGAACTGACTACCGGGATGGTCAGGCGCAGCGGGTTCTAGTCTGACGGGGACCCAGTAATGTAGTAGTGCCGCGAACTACTGGTACCTCTTAGTTCCCCAATACCCAACCTTTAAGCTTTCTGGGCTCTTATAATTTAGTAGTAGTCTGAAAGTTAGATTATTAAACCCTACACCCTACACCCTAAACCTAAACCGCGGCTCTTTCCCTGGCTTCTTGGGACCCGGGGAATGGCGGCCGTGTGGGATGTCAGGACGAGTGGCAAAGGTCGCGGCGGAAAGGGCCACAGCAAGAGCAGACAGGAGAAACAGTGTGCAAGGTGCGGAGGCGAGGTTTCTCAAGTTCTGGTAGCCTATACCCCTAAACCCTAAACCCTGAACCCCTGCACCCTTGAAAACCCTAAACCCGAAACCCCTAAACCTCTAAACCCTAAACCCCTAAAGAAGTTGTACAGGGACTCCAAACTCTCTGCAACCCTGAAAGCTTCTGTCAAGTTTGTGGCACCTTTTGGGGTGTTGGGGCTTATAAACCCTAAACCCTAAACCCTAATGTGATTTTTAAAAACAACCCTAATGTGTAGCATCCGACTCAGCAGGAGGGCTGGCGGCAGCCCAGTGCGCCTTCCGCCGGGGAACGCCGGAACCGCAGCTGGCTGCAAAGCAAGCCCGAAACCCTAAACCCTAAACCCTCCCTAAACCCTAAACCCTAAACCCTCCCTAAACCCTAAACCTCCCTTAACCCTAAACAGTCAACCGTAACCCTAAACCCGAACCTACTGTGCAGTTTGTCGGTTTAGGTGTTTAGGGTTTGGCGGCTTATAGGTTTGGTATTGTTTAGTTAGAGTTTGTAGTGTGGGCTGTAGGGTTTTGGATTTGAGGTTTGGGGTTCAGGGCTTGCGATGTAATCGCTTAGGATTTAGAGCGCTTTGGCCTATGGCTACATAAGCACATGGAATAACTTGCATTTCAGAATATTAAAACAAATTTATACACAAGCAACAAGTGAAATAGATGAGCCGAGCAATTAGAATTGATAAAAACATGTGTAGGTGTGTACACACACACATATATATATATATATACCCTAAACCCTAAACCCGTGTACACATACAGTTGTCGAGTCGTTGCTTTTCTTGCAGGCACGCTGGAGGGCAGGGAGACGGGGTAAAGCCCGCGGCCTCCCTGAAACTCCGGCAGTCGCTAGAAATGCCCCCGTGTTTTAGGGTTTAGGGTTTAGGGGTTTAGGGTTTAAGGTGATTTTAAAGGAGGGACACTTAATTGCAAATTGTGGCTTCTACTGCTCTGTGAAAGCGAAAGTGATAAAATGTCATGCAAGACTTAATGTTTGGGTTTGCACCATAAGCCGCCATTTAAGCCCAAGTTGGCAGCGCTACCCTTTTGGTAAAACATGGTAAAACTATTTGCACCCCCTGTTGTGCCACGATAGTTACCAATCCAAGGTTGGAACCAGCCCCGGCACGCGTGACCTGGCTAACTTACATAGCTATTCTGGGGTTAAGTTTTAGGGTGCATGGGTTTCGGGGCTTGGGGCTAAGTGTTGAGCGTTTAGGGAGTTCGTATTGTTCAAGCAGGGTCCCGAAATATTGTGCCAACACCTTTAGAACTCAAACCCTACACCCTAAACCCTACACAGAAGCATAAAGACCCCTGTTCTCTAGACAGTCTCGGGCCCTCTTTCACCACTCGGACCTCGTTTGCGATCACTTCGGAATAGAATCATAATCTTGCTTTTTTTGTGGCCCATATGTCAAGGTGTACAGTGTACCGAAATGGCAGTGTGAGCAACTTCGCATCTCCACGCCGAACACTCTAGTAGAACTCTATTCAGTCAGCCGGTCAGGTGAGTCGGCCATTGACGACGGTTCCTGGCAACAGCCTTGCTCTTGGCATCGCAGGCACGCAAGACGAAGAATTGTCAGCGGTGCCCGTAGTTGCGACGGTGGTGGTGGTTGGTGGTCGTGGTGGAAGTAGTCGCACTAGTTGCAGAAGCAGTAGTGGGAGTAGGGAGTCGTGGCAGTACTAGTATAGTCGTAGTCGTAGCAGTAGTTCTAGTCGCAGTACTTCTAGTAGTAATAGTAGTAGTAGTAGTAGTAGTAGTAGTAGTAGTAGCAGTAGTAGTAGCAGTAGTAGTAGTAGCAGTAGTAGTAGTAATAGTAGTTCTAGTAGCAGCAGCAGCAGCAGCAGCAGCAGCAGCAGCAGCAGCAGCAGCAGCACACGTGCTGGCGGCAGCTGCAACGGGCATTCTGTCTGACATGCATGTCGGGTCCGCTGAACTAGTTTTAGGGCTTT